GGACTTCCCTACCGTAAAGGGGAAGAGCGTGCGTGAGTCTTTCATGTACTTCCTCATGACTTGCCAGTGGAATAGGAACCGGACTGATGCTCCCCAAAATGGAAAAGGAGCCAGAGCCTTAAGGTTCTGATTAAAAAAAAAAAAAAAAAAAAAAAAAAAAAAAAAGGTGGACGAAGGGGAGGGGTGGTGGGAGGGAGTACGTGGTGATGGTGATGACCAGAGGGGGGTAGGAAGTTTAGGAGGGGGAGGGGGTGTCGAAATTGGAGGGGGAAACTGGGGGGTTGTAGAAATTGGACGGGGAAAAATGGGGACCATACCAAAGAGCCTATCTCAGTTGGTACCCTCATGAACTGTTGAAATGAATCGGACCCAATTTCGAATCCTGATGAACCTAGCTGATGTGTCGAAATTGAAGGGGTAAAACGGGGAAGGGGGTAGGAAGATGAGGATGCTGATGTGTTGATGTGTCGAAATTGGAGGGGTAAAACGGGGAAGGGGGTAGGAAGATGAGGATGCTGATGTGTCAGAGTCGGAGGGGAAAAACGGGGAGGATACAAACGAGAGCCTACCTTCTTCCCCCGAATACAACGTACGGTCATTATGGCTGTATCTAGACGGAAAGATGCCTCAAACAGAGAGCTATAATGACCGTAAGTTGTATTCGGGGGAAAGAAGGTATAGCTCAGTTGGTAAACCCATGAACTGTTGAGATAATCAGACCCAAGTTCGAATCCTGATGGACCTAGACGTATTTAATGAAATGAAATAATTCTGAATTACCTCAAGGCCGTCGCCTTTCTCCAAAAAAAAAAAAAAAAAAAAAAAAAAGGAGGAAAAGAAGAAAAATGATTAAAAACGGGGCGGAGGAGGCGGCTATGGTGATTTCGTTTAATCGACGCCCATTTTGCTTTCTGTTTTGATTGCCATGGCCCCTCCTCCCTCATCTTGGCCCCGGTCTTTCGATGTTTGTATCTCTATATGGGACGCTGCGCCCGCGATTCCCAGCACGTGCTGCTCGCCACGAATAGATTGGAGCATTTGTCACATTAAAAAAGAAAAAAAAAAAAGAAAAAAAAAAAGAAAAAAAAAAAAAAAAAAAAAAAAGAAAAAAAAAAAAGCAAACAGACTGGGGATTGGAATTGTCAGCAAACAGATCACCTGGTCAGCATTTTCTCCGAAAAGTGCAGAGTTTGCAAAAAGGCAACCGTGCTGGTCATTGGACACTATAGTAGCACAAGAAAAGCTGCAGAAACGTTTCCTCCCATGGAGCACCACGTCTAACACGTGAACTAACTACCGGAATAAAAGAAAGAATAAGTTCGTTGATATTCCCTCATGTTCCTCCTCCTGTTTTCTTGCAAACGAAACTGCAGGTGGTCATCTACCCGTCTTGACCCGAATACAACGTGCGATCATTTTTGCTGTATTTTAGACTAAAAGTTGTCCCAAATACAAAAAATAAATAAATAAGGACCGTACGTTGTATTCGGGTGAAGACGGGTAGTCTTCAGAACGGACTTTCATGGCGGAAATACCCTTCCCATCGCATAATTACCGTCGTTCTCGGTTCTCCTTCCCCCTTTCCCCTCCACTCCCCCTTTCCCCCCCCCCCCCCCCCCCCCGTGTGTATTTTCACCCTCTTCGAAGTAATTTTATCCGCGAACAGTACGGTAAATTACCGCAATACCCCCATTAGCAGCAGGCCATAAGCCCCAACTGCTCGCCCGGCTACCGTCTTCCCCCGAACATAACGCACCCTGATAATGAATGTATATAGACTATCTTTCCGTCCCGATGCAGTCAAA